GGTAGCGGCGGCGTGCAGGTTCTGTCAGCTGCCTCCCTACAAAAGTGATGCAGGGAATGATGGGCTTGGTTCCCCCTGTTTTATTTCTCTGGGGCCCTATCTTTGGTGGCTCTTGTATAAGGTTGGGACCAGGCTGACGATCCTAGATGGCCCTTTACTCTCCATTGTTCTCCGGAGTTCAGCGTCCTGTCCCTGGCCATGGCCTGGGGGGGCGCGGGGGCGCCTCTGCGCCAGCGCCATTGTGCAGCCCCCAAAGATGGCGGCTGCTGCATTGGCGCCTCACTGCGCAGGCGCAGCGCGGCCCGCCCCCTCCTCAAGGATGGAGGGTGGGGGCGCAGCGTCCCGGGTCTGCACGTCTGCAATCTGTCGGCATTGGAACTGTACCCTGTTGTGTCGGTCGTGTTAAATAAAGCAGGCCAGGGTGAGTGCTGTCCCCTTTCAAACTGCTGTGGGATTCGCCCTGAAGTGTGCAGGCGCAGCAGGAATGACAGTGTGGCAATCAGGGAGGGTCCCCAAAGGGCTGGCAAGCATCCTTTTTCCCTTGGCTGTGATCAGCAGATTCCACCGACGTCCTCCATACGCTGTTGTCTGAGAGGACGGAATCATCATGATGGATAGGCCATGGTGTATCACCTGAACAGCATGGTAGCTTCCCCTTAGCAATTTTTAAATTTAATTTTTTCTGAGATTTTTTTTTTTCATTTTTTGAAACAGTCTCACTATGCAGTTCAGGCTGGCCTTGAACTCACTTTGTAGCCCATGCTGGTCTCGAACATGCAACAGTTCCGCCTCCATCTCCTGAGTGTAGTGGGATTTCAGGTTTGCGCACTACACCAGGCTCTTCTTAATTATTTAATATCCCATTCTGTTTCCATCACAGTGGCGACTCAGTTCTACTGCGGAGCATCACGGTGAAGTCCTTTCTATGCTGAGGGGCGTGCCATGGCCGACATTCCTGGATTCCAGGAGCTGGGTGGGGCTGGTTTCATGTAGGAGAAAAAAACTCAGAAAAGTAGAAAGAATCTTACTGGTATTCTGGTATATCTTACTGGTATGTGTATTCGTGGGGTTAGAGCTATTCTCAGAATTATTGCCTTTACTTGGAGTTTTCTCTTTTTTGAGACAGGGTGGTCACAATTTGTAGGTAGGATAGCACTGAACATCTTCCAGGGTGTTGGGGTTTCAGGTGTATGCCACATCATGTAGCTTTTACTTGGATTTTGAATTAATGACTTTGACAATTTTTGTTAGACATGATTATTTTAGAACATTGGACATTAATAGTAAAACTTTGAATCTTAAACTGTGAGGATTTCTATTTTTCAAATAGAAATTGTTTATTACATTTGAGCTATCTTGTTTGCCCTTCTTGTAGTTCAGGTGGATATTTGAGAAATCACAATTAACTAGTTATTTTATTTGATTTTATTCTTTTAATATAGGATGTCTACATAGTTCAGGTGGTTTTATGCTTTTAAGATGGTCCCTGATTAAGGCTCTCAATTAGAGAGCCTTAGTCATGGAAACAGTTGTTTGCTGCCACCTGCTGTCCACTTTATTTTATTGCTATTGCTGTGCAGGCAGTTGTACATCAACTATGTGGCTTTTTTTTTTTTTTTTTTGCAGGACATTAATGTACTTAACCTTTTTCTTTTTAATATGATTTTTACATTAATCTATGTCAGGTAGTATAGTTACTTTTGGTCATTCTGTTTTTCTTTTTGTCTTTTTGAGACAGGGTCTGCCTCTGCAGCTCAGGCTGGCCTTGTGCTCACTTTATATCCCAGGCTGGTTTGGAACTCTCAATGATCTGCCTGCCAACACAGACTCCTGAGTGCTGGAATTACAGGAGAGTGCTGGAATTACAGGCAAGTGTTGGGATTACAGGCAAGTGTTGGGATTACAGGCAAGTGTTGGGATTACAGGCAAGTGCTGAGATTACAGGCATGTGTCACTATGCCTGGCTAGTTGTGTTTTTCTCATGTTTAAAATTTTTTAAAAGTATCAGGTTGGGGGCCGGGGAGATGGCTCAGTGGAGTAAGTGCTTCCCTGGCAAGCCCAAGGGCCTGAGTTCAATCCCCGGTTCCTCCAAAAAAAAAAAAAGTGTCAGGTTACATGATGATACATTCATTTTTTTTCTAGCCTTTTTTTTTGGCAGAACTGGGGATTGCACTTGCCAGGCAAAAACTTAAGCTACTAAGCCATCACCCCAGGGCCCTCGAGCATTTTGTTTCTTTTTGCGGAACCAGGGACTGAACTCAGGCCCTTGCGCTTGCCAGGAAAGCGCTTATTCTACTGAGTCATCTCCCCAGCCCCAAGATGGCCATCTCTATATCGAATTTGGATCACTGTCTCCTTAGAGTCTTTGACCATTTTAAAAGTATTGTTGGTGAGTTGCAGTAATTTAATATATATTGTGGGCACAAAGTATAAAACACTAAGTTGGGTGTGGTGATGCAGTTATAATCCCAGTACTCAGGAGGAGGCAGAGGCAGGAAGGTTGTCTTGGATTCAAGGTTATCCTGCACTGATAAAGTGAGTTCCATGGCAACCTGCATAGTGAAAGCCTTCCTCTAAAAGACAAAAATCAAACAAAAGATTCTGCAATTAAGTCAAAGATGACCTTTTCATTTTATTTTATTTTTTTTCCTTTTTCTTTTCTTTTTTTTTTTTTCTTTGGCGGAACCAGGGACTGAACTCAAGCCCTTGCACTTGCCAGAGAAGCGCTTATTCCACTGAGCCATCTCCCAGCCCCTTCATTTTATTTTAATTAATTTATTTTGTATTGGTTTCTGTTACACTATATACAGTAAAATGTAATAAAACACAAAAAGACTGTAGGAAGTAGGGAGATGCTTTTCAAATGGAAAGAATAACAGATGGAGTAGAGGAAATAAGAAGAGGATAAACAAATAGAAATGGACAAAATAGAATCCACTTTTTTAAAAAAAATTTATTTAATTGTGTGTGTGTGTGTGGTCAGCTCAGTCCACCACGGGGCGGGGCTGGCTGGCGTGTGGTGCTGGGGGATTGAACTGTGGTCCCTGTGCTTTGCTAAGCTTGTTCTATGTAGGTGCTTTAGACCACTGAGCCATCGCACCAGCCCTAGAATCCACTTTTGCAAATGTAAATGGTAGGGGCCAGGGAGATGGCTCAGTAGGATAAGTGCTTGACTGGCAAACGCAAGGATCTGAGTTCAATCCCTGGTTCTGCAAAAAAAAAAAAAAATTGTAAATGGTAACTAAAGTTGGTAATGGGAAGGGTTGGAAGAGGAAGGGGATAGAAAAGAAACAGATGGACCCACTCATTCTCCACAAAGACCCCTTGTTTTTGTTATGTAACGATTGTATTTATCACAGGAAGTTGGTATTGGACATGCATTCAGCTTTGTTTTTAGCTTTAGCCACTCATTTTATTTTATTTATTTTGACAGAACCAGGGATTGAAGTTGGGCCCTTGCACTTGTCAGGCAAGCGCCTAGTTTACTGAGCTATCTCCCTGCTCCTAGTTTTTTTAAAATTTAAGTTTAACATTTATTTTATTATTTGTTTTTGTGATTTTAATTTAATGTAATGTAATTTTCATATATTATTTTCTCTTTTTGAACCAGGGATTGAACTCAGGTCCTTGCGCAAGCGCTTATGCTGCTGAGCTAGGTCCCCAGCCCTTGTTTTATCTTTTTGAGACAGCGTCTCACTATGCAGTTCAGGCTGGCCTTGAGCTCATTTTGCAGCTTAGGCTGGCCTCGAACTCTTAATTATGCCACAGCCTCCCAAGGGCTAGGACTGTAGGTGGCAGCACCATGCCTGGCTCGATTGCTGTATTTTTTTTTTCCAGAACGGGAGATTGAACTCAGGCCCTTGCGTTTGCCAGTCAAGCGCTTATCCTACTGAGTCATACTCCCCCCCCCCGCCCCTTTGCTTTATTTTTTATTTATTTTTGTTGTTGTTTTTGTTTGTTTGGTGGAACTGGGGATTGAACTCAGGTCCTTGTGCTTGCCAGGGAAGTGCTTACTCCATTGAGCCACCTCCCCGGCCTGCTGTATTTTATATTATGTTTTTTAATTTTATTTTTTATTTACATTTATTTATTATTTTGGCATCAGGGATTGAACTGAAGACCTTGCGCTTGCCAGGCAGGTGCTTAAACCATTGAACAATCTCCCTGGCTTTTGGGTTTTATTTTTTTTATTTTATTTTTATTTTTTTGTGGAACCGGGGATGGAACTCAGGCCTTTGCACTTGCCAAAGCAAGCGCTTATTCTACTGAGCTATCTCCCCGGCCCCATTTGGGTTTTGATTTTTTATTTTCATTTTTAAGTATTTTTTGGTGGTGCCAGGGGCTTGAACTCAGGACCTATTGTACTGAGCTAATTGGCCTACTAATTTTTCAAATTTTATATATTTTTTTCTACTTAGTTTTTAAAATTGGATTTTACTTTATCGTACTTTATTAAAAATTTTTTTTTCTTTTTTTTAGGAACCGGGGCTTGAACTCAGATCCTTGTGTTTGCCTGGCAAGCACTCGTCCTACTGAGCCATCTCCCCGGCCCCCAAAATTTTTGTTTTTATTCTATTTTTGCTGTATTTTTAAATTTTTTTTTTTTTCGGAACCGGGGATTGAACTCGGGCCCTTGTGCTTGCCAGGGAAGCGCTTATTCTGTATTTTTATTTTATTTATTTATTATTTTTTTTGGTGGAACTGGGGATTGAACTCAGGCCCTTGTGCTCGCCAGAGAATCACTTATTCCACTGAGCCATCTCCTCAGCCCCATGTATTTTTAATTTTTAATTTTATTTTTGTTTTACTTAAAAGTTTACTTTATGTTTTATTCTAGTTCATTATTTTTTATTTCAATGCTGGTTTCTGCGCAACTTTCTCCGGCGCATGCGCGGTGAGCTCGCAGGGCTGCAGTGGGCTGCAATGCGGCAACGGCGCGGCCGCGTGGGCGAGGGCGGCACGGCTTGGCGGTGCGGAGAGGGGCTGCGTTGCTAAGCAGCGTTGCCATGGAGACAGGCGGCGCGCATCCGGGCCGCGCTCCACCCGCGCAGCGGGTAGAACGCCAGCCTTGCGCGTGAGAACGTCTCCAGAGGGTTGCTTGATGAAGAGCTGCCGTGTCGCGGTGTGTTTCGCGTCTTGGGTCAGCGGCAGGTCTCCCTCACACAGTCCGGTGTCCCCCAGGCTGAGGTGGTTTCTGTGGCCCGTCGCTCATGTGGGCTTCAGGCTGAGGCACCACGGGAGGTTGGCAGGGTGGGCCCGGGTCCCAGCATGCAGGAGCCGTGGCGACACAGCCCAGGACCGGTGGTTCCCCCGGTGCAGATGCTGTGCCCAGCGTCGCGGGGGCGGGCACTGTGCTCCCACCTGCGGTACAGAAGGTGCACAGTGGGCCATGGCTGGCCACACCCTCCTAGGCTCGTGCTGGAGGCCACGCCCTTCTGCCGAGCCTAGGAGTCACGAACCCTGGTGCTACAGTTGGAGCCTGAAGCGGGCCCGCCTGAGAGGAGGGGAGGGGGCGGGGCGGGGCGGGGCGGGGCAGCCGCCTGA